TAGATTAGATTAGATTAGATTAGATTAGATTAGATTAGATTAGATTAGATTAGATTAGATTAGATTAGATTAGATTAGATTAGATTAGATTAGATTAGATTAGATTAGATTAGATTAGATTAGATTAGATTAGATTAGATTAGATTAGATTCGACCAGGTTGGATTGGATTGGATTAGATTCAGTTAGATTAGATTAGATTAGATTAGATTGGATTTGATTATATTAGACCAAATTAGACCAGATTGGATTAAATTGGATTAGACCACATATGATTAGATTAGATTGGATTCGATTCGATTAGACCAAATTAAACCAGAATAAATTAGACCAGATTGGATTGGATTAGATTAGATTAAATTAGATTAGATTGGACGAGATGAGATGAGATTGGATTAGATCGGACTGGATTATATGAGATTGAATGAATTAAACCAGAATAAATTAGACCAGATCGGATTGGATTATATGAGATTGAATTATTCCACATCTATATAATTAATAAAATTAGAATCAACACAAAAGCAAATGTAACACTTAGTAAAATAAAATACTAACAACTGTACAAATACTGAGACAATAGACTTCATTAATCCTGCAGGAGTTCTTTAAGGGAAATTCATCCACTGGAAGACACTTCTCGAAAATGGCCTTGGATTATAACCCAGAATTTAGTTAGAATTTCTCAGCCCACAGTGATGTGTTCCGTGAAAAACGATTAACTTGTGTTTTTTCACTTTTCTATCCAAGAAATACCCCTGTGACCATTTGATACGTCCGGAGCTACGACTCAAAGTATCTAAAACCCCAGGGTCATGGGTCATGGTCATTAAAAAAAAAGAAACACCCCAGAGATGGGAAAATGTGAAAATAACAAAGAAACTCTCCGAGGTTTTAACTCTACCCTGTGACTGAATCACTTACGAGAAGCAAAAAGTGAGTAACGACAAAAAAAACAAAAAAGGAATTTTTTGACTCTGGCCAAAACTTTATAGCGCCAAACCCTGCTGTTCAGCTGTGGTACTGCAGTCAAAATAGCATATTTGGATACAATTCCAAAGACCAGGTTTACGACCTGATCTGTAGGTAAATCAATCGTTGGGTGAATTGCTGAAGTTCTTACGTTTCTCTGACAACAGACTCGTTTAAGGAAATTGCGATACGTATCTTTATTATTCCTGAACCAGAGCGATCTGTGCCACGAAGGCCTTCTCCTGGTTCTGTGAGTCAACCGCACCGGCTGAGCTCATAACACCAAACACGCCCGAAAAAGACACACTCATCCAGATTGTGAAGGAGCCATTGAGCTGCTGTTTCCATCAGGCCATGCTGTCATGCTGCATCACCAGCACGGGCATGTTGCTACCTTTCCTTTTTTCCAGCAGTCGTTGGAAAAAAAAACAAAAAACAAACATCTTACGTCTGTAGCTGACTGTGTTCACTTCAACCCCTCCCCCTCCTCCCCCGTAGTCTTGATTTCATGCATATTCATGTCCTGGTTGCAGACTGGGAATTTCCCCCACACCTGTGACTGGATTACAGGCACCAGTGATGTGTGCATCAGTTGTCTTGGGTACAGGTGGCGCTCCTTTGTAGCGTTCACGTGGGTGTTCTTTCATCCTCAAGTTGACTATTTGAGCTAATCCCACATCTACAGCTGCGTCTGTGATCCCTCTCCTGCTCCCCGCCGCAACGTCGTGTTTGATGGTAAGAATAACTGGAAGCTCCTGTTTTCTTTTATGTATTTTAGGAGCGCAGCGACTCTCCTGGGGGTTGTGGTCTTGCCAGTGGGACAGCTTGCAGTGATTAGGGCCAGCGAGTGCACACATCACAGTGCTGCATTATTAGCAGGCCAGTCAATCCACAGTGGAAATCAAAAAGCAGAGATTCAGGAAATGGGTGTTGAGTGAGGTCACTTCCCAAGGAAGTGGCACGTGCTTCAGGTCAGGAGAAGCCAGGACAGGTACCCTGGGATTTGGGAGTGCGCAGTTAGCGCACGCTAATGTGGGGCGACGCCTGGTGTTTTACCACGTTGGCGTGCACTGTTGAACCTCCGTTTGGTGACTGTAGACAGGTGGAGCAGGTGAGGGGAGAGCAGTCAGGGGGAGGATTCTGAACGCTGGGGCGAAGCAGCAGGCGAGCGAGGAGGTCAGCGTGCCCCCAGGCCGCGGCCCTGGGTCGGATCCCCTCTGGGCACACGGAGAAACGGCGTGATGAAACAGAGGAGTGTGTGTTGAGTTTCTCTCCTCCTTCTCTTCTCTGCCACATTCGCTCAGTCCCTGCCAAGGAACCTGTCAGGGACACATCTACAGGAAGCGACAGTCGGCTCTGTTAGATTGACAGGAGATTCACTGCGACCAAAGCCGGGGAACGCGGCGGAGTTTCAGCCTTCCGGGGGAGAAATCTTTACCAGTATTCCCAGCTGAAGACGAAATGTACACAACATAATTGTTTTTGCTTTTTTCGCCGGCTTTTGTGCATTTGCTGTCATGTGGATTGGATTTCCTTCAGCTGTAGAGCTGTGTTGGCCGTGATGCCCATGCTTTATTGGATTGGTTTAGATGTGGACGCTGGACTTGGAGACTCAACACTTTTGTTTTTCCTTCTCCTCCTCTGTTTTTCTCCCTCTATCTACTTGATCACTCCCGTCAACCCCTATTCCATTTTCCCTCTTCCAATCCTCCCACCCTTTACCCCACTCAACTCCACTCATACATCTTTGACTTTTCCCTTCCTCCCCTCCTCCTCCCACCCTATTTTCCCTCTTCCTCTTTATTTTTCTCAGGGCAAAAGACATGAAAAATCGACTGGCGTTCCTGCGAAGGAGGAATGAATCCCCGGGAAGCAACGCGGCCAGTAAACTGGACAAGGCCATGAAGTCCGTCAAGTAAGTGGCCACTTCCTGACAGTGTGACCTCGGGGGGGAAAGGGGGGGTCGGTGGGCGTGACGCTCTCCCACTCCTGGTGGAGCGATGACCTTGGAGTAGGCAGCTGTAGAGATGAGAGCGTGGCCGGTGTCGTATGTTACGGTGAATACCAGTCAGTCAGTTAGAGAAGGACTGGAAAATACAACTTCATGAAACAAGATAAAAAGTATAGAAAGAAGGAAGAATCTAGAAGTTTGACATCGATGGGTGATGAGAATCAGTAAGGAAGAATCTAGAAGTTTGACATCGACGGGTGATGAGAATCAGTATCATCACTGCTATACATTAAAATCACACACAATATTTTTTTTTTAACAGTCTTTAAAGTAAAGGTAGAAAAACATTTTGTGAAAAAGTACACAGTGCAAAAGTGTAAATCAAACTCAAACTTCTTTTCACTCTGCTCTAACTTTTTTTTTTTTACTAACAACATTAATAGTGTCCAGACACAAGACATCAGGTGATTCTGTTTGCCACATACACACATTAGCCCAGGTCACTGGGGACGAGCGCTGATGTAAACAGGAAGTAGTCAACTGTCACCAGGGAGAAATCACATCGTCAGGGAGTCAGCGGGGAATTTAGTTTGAATTTAGACGGAAACTGAGACGGAGGTGAAACTGGAGGGAATGTGTTAATGGAGCTGTTAGTTCAGTGCTAATAGCTGATAAGTGACCGTGAGGACCATTAGAATAGAAAAGAAAAGAATAGAATAGAATAGAATAGAATAGAATAGAATAGAATAGAATAGAATAGAATTACAATAACAACAATAATAATAATAACAATATTGCGTAGGATAGAATAATTTAAAAATATAATAATTAAATAATTAATAATTAAAATTTAATTTATATAAAAGAATGTTTATAGTAAAATACTTCACAGTAAGCAGAGTATGTACATACCTAGTACACAACAAATATACAAAGTATTTCACCAATACAAGTATTTAAGATAGAAATGCGAAAAAATATAAACATTAAAGTAAAATAAAACAATGTAGGTAAAAAGTAATGTTTTAAGGACAAAAATAACTCTAGTATTTATAAATGTTTGGGCCTTTAAACTAAAACATCTGTGTCTTTTTTGTTATTATAGAAACAATAATATTTATATTTATGCATTTAGCAGACGATTTTATCCATAGTGACTTACAAGAGATTCAAGCTTCATGTGTGGGATCAATGAAGGCGCTCTCCAGAGGGTGGGAGTGGGAGTGCAGGAGGAGAAGGGGAGGACAGGAAAGGGTTAAATCAGGAGGGTGGGGGGTGTCTTCAATAACACACACTAACACACAATATCAATAATGAATATTGTTATACTTTATTTAATACCTCAAAGTCAAGCGAGAACCTTCAGTCTGCCCGCTCTCCTTCAGTACATGTTGGTGAAGAGTGTGAGTGTGTGTGTGTGTGTGTGTCAGTGATGTGTATTGAAGGCCCAGTGTTTCACGAGAGGCAGCAGGGGGCAGACAGACTCTGGTTTGGGGGGCAGGGCTTTCTAAACCAAAGCCTGTCCCCATTGGTCGACCGAGGCCCCTCCCATTCTGCCTGCCAAGCAGCCTTCAATGGGAATATAAAGTCCTCCCCCTCCTCTCCGGCAGACAGACTCATGGCTCTCGGTTTACAGAGCAGTCCCTGAGGTAGAGGTAGCTGCATGAGAGGGAGAGGAGCAGTTCTCACACAGACTAGAGAGGGAGTGAGGAGCAGTGAGGAGCAGTGAGGAGCAGTGAGGAGCAGTGAGGAGCAGTGAGGAGACCAGAGCAGAGGAGTTTTCCACTCATCCACCTGGACACATTCCTGCGGATGGGTCACACAATGAGAAACCTGACTGAGATGGGCTTGTTAAAGAACTGCTCTGCTTTCATCTGCAGGCCCACCCCAGAGGAGGCACTGAAGTGGGGGGACTCACTGGACAAGCTGCTGACTCACAAATGTAAGTTTCTTTGTCACTACTTTCATCTGAACTCCTCCTCCTCCTCCTTCTTCTTCTTCTTCTTCTTCTTCTTCACGACCCGTCGACTCTCTTCTCTCCTAAACACCATATGTCTCAATGCAGCGCAGTGTCAACCACATGCTGCATGCTGGAGAGGGAGGGAGGGGAGAGGGGGGGACGGCAGGGAGGGGGGAGGTGTGCATAGGTTGTTGTATGGGGAAGGGAGGGGTGGGGGGGTCAACGTGCCACATTGAAAACATTTGAATCCTTCTC